GCAGTAATGACTGTATCCTATAAATGCTGCAAACTCCTGTGCATGTATTACCAGTTTCTGATACCGTTTTCTACTAATGTCTCTGATAGTGAATCCGCGACGAAAGTCGAAACGTCAGGCGAATAAAAATATTGTCCCAGCGATCGAGTAGTCTTCTTCTCAAAGAACTGTTTGCCATGCAAAACAGAGAAAGGTCACAGATACGGGAACGCGAATAAATTTGAAATGTCTTCACGACTGCGTCCCCGACCAGCATAGGGGATAAAGTCATCTTGTTCTTTAAATCACAGATTACGGAACACTGGCTGATCACTTCGGGAGCGTCCTCAACCGTCGGTTTGGAGCCCACGAGAAGGCTATCAGTCACCATGGCAACCCCGCAGCAATCAGCTGAAGATGCACAAAGCCATACTGAAAACTGAATTGATTTCTCCCAATATCAAATAACGAAACCAAACAAATTTCACCCCATCTTAAAGACGAATAAACGAAAAAAAGATCGTGGAAAAAACATGGTTTGGATTCGACTCTCAAAAATTAAAGGTATGGATATGGTATGAAGTCAGGATCAGCAGCAGATTACCCATAGCAAGTGTCCCACGCAAATTGTTGTGATATATCTTATAAGGGCGGAGGCTTAAGGTGCGGACCCCTTACCTTACAGTTAACTCCAATCCTAATCTTAACCTTAACCCTAACCCTAACTAAAGAAGGAACTTCGTCGAACAACACCTACCTAAACAAATGTAGTAGCGAGTCTTGCATATTAAACCCATGCTGACTACGTGCCCTATCCTTACCAGGTGAAACAAATCCAACCTCTATAGAGCAGTCATATTTCGAGTACATCAGGACTATTGCATGCCAAGACTGCTACTGGCACCCACCAAAAGGACTAGACGCAAAAGTACAATGCCGACTTTAAGACGTTACATATTTGCTTCGGGGTTAATTTGTATTCCCAGGGAATGCAATCACGGTCGTCAGACATCACAACCAACGGTGAAAACTTGCATTGCAACCACAAAATACAACAGACTAGGGGAAGGCAATGGAACTCGGCTAGCGCAGATGACCAGACTAAAACTGTTAGCGTCTTCTAGGTCAATACAAGTCAAGGCTTCCATTAGCCAAATTGCAAATGTATATATATATATACCTTTGCAAACGCAGCAGTAGAAACAAGAGGGGTCTTTGCTCGCGGCACTTCAGCCAGGGAAGCTAAACAAAGTAAACTGACTGTGCGCAGAAAGCGTTTGTTGCGGCTCCAAGACTCCCGTGGTTGAAGACCAGCTCAACATCTGCCAACATGCTTCCTAATGCGCCACAAAACAGTGACGAGGCTGGGATATCAAGCATCCCCAGGTCACCCACACCGTCACGATAAGATGACACCTTGCGTCCTCCCACATCCCAACAAAATGCGAGACAAGGACAACGGGACGACATGAACTAATTGTCGGACCCCTTCCCCTCCCCTCCCCTCCTCTCCCATCCTTTCCCCTCTCTGGTCCCCAATTAAGAATCTGACCCCTTTGATTCCCTGTACACCTCTTCCCCTTTCCCCTAATTGTTACAAATTGGTTGCTTAAACTTTCGTTAACTCTACTCTCCCTTATAGTATTGCATTTGCCTGATGAAATAAGCGAAAACGTTCGTTCGCTTAACTTGACTTCCTAAACCCACTGAGTTCAACCCACCAATGACCAGATCACAGAAAGTTGCGTTTACGGCAAGGGCAGGGGACACAGTGGATGGCAAGTTGACTGTAGCAACTAAGACACCGGGATGTAGGCATGGTGTCGGCAATTATCGCTTCCACTTACTTGCTTTCTAGCAAGATTCCACTTCTAGATGTTTTTCATTAGTCCGTGTCCAGCCAGACTCTAACGACTTGCAGTGACCCTGACCTGCCCACCAACACCCACAGCAAAAAGTAGCCAACGTATACCTTCCCATACACATTCAAACCATTTGACGTGGCACAGGAATGTGATTGACCATGACAACTATCGTACTCGTTGGATTATACTGACAGATTGTGGTTAAGAAATGCGAAAATTTCAGAAGACCTGCTGGTGAATATGCGTGTGTTTTCGATTAACTTTTGTCGGACCAGTCTATTTGTATGGGAACCGGGGGTAGCACGCCGATTTTACTTGGAGAAAGTAAGGATAGGTTGCCAACGCCGGCCACCTTCATTTGCACCTTCTCATTTGCTTGCCCCCAGTGGAGTAGGTTATAGCGGTTGCATCAGTCAGCGTCTATCCAAAATAATGAATGAAAACTTCCCGGTATGGTTGAGAAAAGGTAGAATTCACGGCTTAAACACCGCTATTCTTGCAAACATTGTTGATTTCAGGCATCATGTGATTTGTGAGGTCCCACCAAACTTTGCCCAGGGCCTGCTGGCAGCAGCAGCAGAAGCGACCGCTATCATTTTAGGAAGCCAGCTTTGTAAGGACAAAACAACCCGTAAGCTCCGCGCCGAGCACGTGAGTGAGTATTTGAAACATTTGGCGGATAAACCTGTTGCCAATAAAGATGCAGGAAGAACGACCAATAGACTAGCAAATAGGGTCTCTCCCTAGTACGGCCAACGGTCGCTTAACTGCATGCACTCTTCCGTGCTCCCTTTCTCCCTCCCCCTCCCCCTGAACCGACTGCATCAGACCCTCACCGTCGCTTAACCAGCGGTCTCTTCTCGCCCCTCGCCCTTCCCCTATTCCCACGATTCAATTTTATGAAAAAACGAAAATTATTGACCGCGTGTTTCAACTCAGATGCCGAAGGGACTATTGAAAGTGCATGCAGGCTTGCCAACTGGCCTTCAGTGAGAATTTTCGCAACTCTAAAAACAGCAACATATTGTACTTACGGGGAAGAAGAGGAGAGCACTGTTTGCCAACACGAGTACTGCAGACAGTCGCTTGAAAACAATGTGCTGTGTGATGTCGTACATGACGCAACGGAAACGCAAGTATGTGGTCTCAATTACGTTGCCGCCTGGAATAGGTAGTTGCCCAGGTTCCTGACGGAGTTCTAGGAAGCAAATAATCGGCAAAAAGGGTCTGAAAATTGATATTTTTAGACTGAAAGGACATTCTAAAAGCTAAATATTGCACTGAATTGGGGATAAGTCAGATTAGGTTTAACAGACATATTAAGTGCTGCCCAATTCATGAAATTTTCGAAATGACCTCAAGCCGAGGCTACCCATACATAAGCTGAAAAAAATTGGCTGGAATTTCGTATAGGTCTGATGCCTTGCCGAACACTAGAGGAGCCCTCATTAGTCGGACAACTGAAAAGGACGCCTTCCCAACTGGGCGACGAGACTTGGCGTCTAATTTTTGTCCTCTAGGGTCTACACATTTATCTGCAAATAAACTGATTTGCTGATTTGAGTTTACCAACAACTGGGATCAACGATCATGAAGAAAGGGCTGGATAAGTGGTCGATTCTAATGACCTCAAAATCTTATTGGAATGAGTAATATGGTTGTTGATTTGAACAGTATAACTGATGGAATCCTAGCTAATGCACACGGTTAGAAATCTGGCTATTAAAAATGAAATGGGTTGAGTTATTTGAACAATAAGCGCACTGCCTGGATACAAAAAGAGGACTCAGACATACTTGGGCGTGGTGGAATGTGCAGCGGCTGCGTAAGCTTAATTCGGCCCTTTAAATCAAGCCATCGTCTCTGGTCAACTGTGAGAAGGGCCGTTCCCTGACGGAAAAAACATAAAAAAAATTAAAGGCCTATTTACTTGCACATGGTTTGTTTAAAGAAATATGAAAGACATGCGCAAAGTCAAAAAAGGTGACGTTATCCTTGCAACTAAGTGATAACGAAACTGACCCTCGGAAAAGAGGACTTGGTAAGGACGGGTTAGAGAAGACCCCTGGGTTTAAGATACATAGTCTGGTCTGGTTTGGTTTATTATCTCATAGCTATGGGAAGTAACCAGCGCATAAATAATTACACTCATATAACTATATGTCCTTCATTGTTTTATTTAGTGAGAGCCAATTTTTTAAGTTTTTGAAATATCACTCTCAATTTCTTTGCTATATATAGGTCTAGAAGAAAATATTTGGCGGAAATTTGTTTATTTTTTAAGGTTTTCTCGCACACATTTCGCCACTTGTCCCCGCTGAGGCCCCACATTTAAAACCCCCATTTCATTCCTTCGCGTTTTACATGCTCCTGGGGGGTAGCGGTGGCTAAAGGGGCTTGCATAATCTGCCGTGGCCGAGGGCCCATTGGGCAAAGCCAAATAATAATTTGGTATGGAGGGTGGTCTAAGTGGGCCATGCGGTAGACGCCCTGGACCAAAATGGGACTAGATTAGGGTCGGGACGGCATTATTGAGAATAGGGTGGAGACATGCACAGGCTGCACGGTATTCATAGTTCATAGTGGTCATCCGCGA